CCAGTCCTTCCTCTTCTGGGCATCTTGCCAGGCCCCTTTTCCAGGCCCGTGCAAAGCCAATTACACAAGTCTTTTCTCTTTTGGGCATCTTGTCACGGCCCCGTTTGGCGCAGCTCAACCATTTCAAGGCATTTTCTTGCCCGCTCATCCTTGGTTTTCGTTTCATTGACACGCTTTGTCTTTAGGTAGATGGCACACCCTCCCYCCACTCAATCGCGATGTCCCCATCGCATCTTTGGTTCTCACTTGGAGGCACACAGACCTTGCCTGCCAACTGAGTAAGCAGGTGTCGGCCCATCAGCCCCTAAAAGGAAGGGTGATCAGTCCTTCCCCTGCTGATAACTCACCTCACCCCTTACCCTCGTCCGACGGCCACTAGCTTGGAGATGGGCATCAGCATTGAGGTGCCTCCTCGCATCCGTAAGGCAGGTCTAGTCCCTACCTCCCACGATCCCATCGTGCCCAAAAGTGGTCCCCTCGCGACTGGTCCCTCCCAAGTGATAAATTTTTGCGGATCTGGCCTCTCCCATTTCAAGAGAGTTGGGGCTCTCTTTTAGTCTGCGAGTGCAGTTACGAAGACCTCGCGGTTAGTCCCGGAACGGTTGTAATGCTCCGGCGGGGCGGTGTCAATGCCCCGTGGTGGTTGCGGCTCCACCCAGTACCTCGCCGGACCTTCCCCGTGAACGTGCATCTCAACTTAGCGCGAGCGGCCTAGGTCCTTTCCCAAGCGGCCAGGCTGCCCCTCAAAAGCGTGGCATGTGGTTGGAGAGGGTCATAAAGACTTAGAAGAGCAAATGTTCGACCCATCTTGGTGCCCTGGACTTTTAGGAACTCGACATGAGGCGCAATTCGAACCCTCCGGTTAGAGCTCATTGCCGGAGCTGGTTCCGGATGTGCAGTATCGCATTGACACCTTGATCTTTTAACCTGTTATCCTGCTAATGAGGAATAGGTCGCGCTTGGATATTTCCTTAAAGGAAAGCGGTCCTGGGGTTGTGGTGCAAGCTATGTTGCACGCTGGTCGCGGCCGAGTTCGGCCCAGGCCGCGGTTGGCGGCCTAGGCCGGGACCCCCCCGGTCGCGGCTGAACGCAGCCGAAAATTTCGAACGACGCTGCGGCCGATCGGGGAGGGGGTTTGGGGGGCGGGGAACGGGTTTCGAGTCGCGGGGTGTCCCCCTACCTCCTCGAAAAAAAAACAACATAAAAAATTCAAAAACGGGGGGGTGGATTTCGAAGACTATAAAAAAAAATTAAATACATAGAAGAAAAAAAAAATCATTGATTGACTGTTACTTATTTATTGATTGATTGATTGATTGATTGATTGATTGATTGGTTGATTGGTTGATTGGTTGATTGATTGATTGATTGGTTAGTGGGGGAGGGGATCTCCCTCCACTCCACGACGCGCACCTCTCTCTCTCTCTCTCTCTCTCTCTCTCTCTCTCTCTCTCTCTCTCTCTCTCTCTCTCTCTC